TTCGGACGCTGACCAATGCGTACCAAGCGCATATTTAGCAAACGCACATGCACCGCCAACATAGCGAGTGCCATTGGTGGAAATGAGTCATTGATTATATTTTGAAAAATCTGTACAGTTACGCCAAAACACTGATAGAAATGTGCAGCTATGTAGCCTAGCACGCTGCGTTCGTAGTCGAATGGAAAATATGCCGGATACATGAGCCGCCAGTTCCCTAAAACGCCAGCGATCAGCGTAGCAACCTCAGAGGCGATCGCAGCGCCAAGACCCACGCAAACATCGAAATACAGCACTTGCTTTGTACGCCGAAATGCATTTGAATTATAGAATTGCACATCATCTGATTGGATGATTTGTTGATCGAGCCTCTGAATTAAAGCATAGATCTTTCGTACATCGGCTAGACGCCACCAAAATGCGAGTGTTTTGATGGTGCATCCCAAACAGGTTAGATTAATGGTGATATTTTTGAAGATGTCGGCTTTGCTTTCACTTTGGATGAGTCCAATCATCAAATGCGTGGGGTAACCAAAGGTCACGATTATATTCAAAATCAGTGAATACAGATAGTAAATGTAGCGGTAACGTGGCGAGGGTGGCGATTGTCCGACATAGCGCCAGGTAATGTCGTGAAAGCGAAAAGCTGATATTCCAGATTTAACATTTTCCATTACGAAAAGCATAGTTGTTTCTGTTTTTTGGATAACTTGCAACACTTTCGAATGGTTACTTGAGCGAGAATGGTTGTCAGAAGTTACATAAAACTATTTTTATACTTGATGTAGGTACTTTAATGACGGCAATTTCTAACTTATTAGTTTATATTGATTTTGGTTATTTAATTGTCTCTATGAATTATTAAATTTATATTAAAAACGTTTAATTTATTTAATGATTTCGAGGTGTCAAGGAGACTTGAGCGATTAAGAATTAAAAATGCATAAAAATGTGTTCACGCTATACAAACCTTTGATAGATACGAGGGCTGTTTGATAAGATATTGACTTTGCGAATTTCTCTAGCCTAAAGCAGGCACGAATCAACGCATGCAGAAAAAAAACATGCCGTACATTACATTTCCTTTTAGAAGGCAATTCTGATAATTGTTTTTCAACTCACTAAAGGTCTTTCGTAAGATAATTGTCAATTTTGGCAACTATATTGAAAGCTTTGTTCTATATTTTGAAAGGCTAATTACAAGATCTCCTAACGAGAATGTCTTAGCGTTTTTCTGTTTGCCCTTTACCAATAAGTTTTCAAAAATTAAATAAAACATTTATTTTTCTTTTTAAAGCAATAAAAACTAAAAATGAAAAGAAAATTAAATTGAAAGAAAGAAAAAATATCTTAATAGATTTCTAAAAGCTAGATGAATATTAATTTTTTTTTAATGAAAAATAAAAAAAATAAAAAAAAAATCAAATTCTAAATAAAAAGAAAAATTAAGTTAAAAAAGGAAACAAAGAGAAAATTAAATAAAAAAATTAAGAAAAAATTAAATTAAAAAAAAATATAGTTTTCTTTCTAAAACAATAATATCTAAAAATTAAACAAAAAACATTAAATCATAAAAGAAAAAATAAGTTAATTAAGTTTCAAAAATTAAATGCAATTCAATGACATCTAAAAATTAAAAAAAAATAACCAAAGAAAAAAAATATATTTTTAAATTTAATGAAATTAAAAAAAAATTAACAAAAATTTAAACATTATAAACAACAATAAAATAAGAAAATAAAAAAAACATTAAGTTCCTAAAAATTATATGAAATATCAATAAAAATCAAACATATAAAACATTAAATTATAAAAGAAAAAAATAAATAAAGTAAGTATCAAAAATTAAATGAAATTCAATGAGATTTAAAAATTAAATAAAAAACTAACCACAGATAAAATAAAGTTATTTTCTTAAATTAAATGAAATTAAAAAGAAATTTAACAAAAATCTAAAAATTAAACACAACAATAAAATAAAAAAAATAAAATATAAATTAAATTAAAAAAAGAAAAACATTAAGTTTCTAAAAATTAAAAGAAATAAAAATAAATAGTTTTCTTTTTAAAACAATTAAATCTAAAAATTCAACTAGATTAAGTTTCTAAAAATTAAATGAGTTAAAAAAAAATTCTTTTTAAAACAATAAAATCAAAAAATTAAAAGGAAAATTTAATAAAACAAAAAAAGATAAGAAACTTTCCGCTGCGCGAGGACTCGACCTCCGAGCTCTCGAATGCAACGCCGTAGCTGTGCTTACTGGGCTATTGCGACTTTTAGAGCAGCGCGAGCAAAATGAGCGCTTTCCGTCAAAAGAGGTGTTCATCATGAAAGTAGGGAATGGAGCTCTTTTTGTAAGACTTCCGCACCAGAATAAATAAAATCTACTGGACTTTCAACTATTTTAGTCCCATATAATCAATGAGAGCAAGTAACTATACAGATCTTATGAGATTCCACCACATAGTCCACGGCCTGTAAGATTACAAATACTTCGGACTGGAAGACCGATGCATATTCCAAAATGCCAAAATTGGTGGCGTACTGTCTGGTGGCATTGAAAATACATGCGTGCTGAAATCTCTGCTCCCACTCATTTGAGCTAGGCAGTCAAGAACTGGGGGTGCTTTACAAACTCAACTTATTAAGGCAAACGACGACAACGTCAATAAAAATTACAACAACCCACCCACCTCTGATCGTGAAAGTAGTGATGGAACGAATTTCGACGGGCCCTACCCACATTCTCAATTTAAATGTCTGCTCTCTTGTATAAACCAAAAACGTGGACGACGTCGAACAAAGATGATACGGTTTTGAGGTATTTTAAGGGAATAATTCAATGGATTATAGTCCTGTTGAAGGGGTAGCAAAATACCACAAATATATATCAGACATGTCATATGTTTGAGTGATGATGGGCTCAACACGCATGGATTGACAAAGAAAGCAAAAAAGCCCGCTTCGGCAAGGAATTATCTATAGGGTGCCAACGAACACGAACAGCTTTGAAAGGACTAAGTGCAGCTGGGATCTGCCCAAACTTTGTTCGTATTAACTTGAGGAACTTAGCAGGAACAGGGAGGCAATTGGCGAAGTGTTTTCCTTGGTCTACACCAACAAGCTGGTGTAGTGCCAAATAAATGGAAAAAGAAGATGAAGTGTTCCCTTATCAATTAATCATAAACATACGTACAATTTTGTTGAAGTGCGTTAGCGATAAATCAGCACTGATTGCAGCTAAATCTATAGAAGAACCTGATTGTAATTACAATAATCTTAATACAATTAAAGCAATAAATCTCAAAAATCAATTGATACGGAATAAATGCAAAAAGATAAGCTGAAAATGTGCATATGTACCGTAGAGTGGTCATAGCTTTGTACGAAAAATTTCAATATTCTCAATTCATAAGTTTTCGCGGAGAAAAATACGAAGTTAGGAATGAAAATAAGCAGGAAATTTCTTAGAAAATTCCGCGTGTTCACCAGGGACCGTAACTTTTATTAAAAAAATCGTTCTTTAACAGTTATTTTTTGACTTTTATTTAATTACTCCACAAATAACAGTTATTTCTGATTTTTATTTTATAAATCCAAAATAACAATTATTTTTTATTTATATCTAAATAACCTGCAAATAACAGTTATTTTTGATTTTTAAATTATATGTCTTAGATAACAGTTATCGAAGACTTTTATTTATAAAAGTCATAAATAAAAATCAGTCAGTGCCTTTTACTTTTAAAAGTCATTAATATAAATCAGTCACTGACTTTTATTTTCTAAATCAACCTAATTAAAGTCATTTGTATAAGTCTTAGTAAACTTTTGTTCTCCAACACCTTCTTAACTGCGAAAAATGATACATGACTTTTATACGTACATACATATGGCTTAAAAAATAAAAGTCGGTGGCTGATTTATATGATGACTTTTAAAAGTAAAAGTCACTGACTGATTTTCATTGATGACTTTTATAAATAAAAGTCTTCGATAAATGTTATCTAAGACACATAATTTAAAATCAAAAATAAATGTTTTTTGCAGATTGTTTAGATAAAAATCAAAAATAATTGCTATTTTGGATTTTTAAACAAAAATTAAGAACAATTGCTATTTTTTTAATTTTGCATAAAAATTGCAAATAAAATTTTTTTCAAATTTGATTCTCGGTGAAAAAAGAAATCGATTGGTGTGTATCACTTAGTTGTAGAGCATTTACTTCATAGTGAATTTTTCAATGACCGTTTTCATCAATAACTGTTATGGTCCCTGATATTCACAAATGTTTTAAGACGTGTGCTAATTTGCTTTTTTTGCAATTTGGATAAGATTAGAACTTTTTATAAATCATTATCGCCGCATATATGTACTTGTATATATATAAATTAGAGTGCATCACTGTCCATACAAAAAAATAAAATCGGTACTGTTTTTCCATCGGAAATATAAAATTTATTATATTTTAAGATATGTACCAAAATATTTCGTAAAAATATTAAGACTTATGTCAGCGGGACCAATTTGGAAACCGTCCCAAAAATCGAGTTTTTTTTATAAATAAAATTAATTTTTGAAGCGGTATTTTCAAATCGGTCTAGCTAACGTAAATCTTAGCATTTTAAATCTTAAATATAGAAAAATTTATAATTCTGGTGGAAAAACTGTAACCTTTTTTTTTTGGTGGCGCACACTAATCTACACATGTACGTACTTACAAGTACATATATGAATATTTACTTACTATTGTATTAAGGTAGAGAAATTCAAATGACTTAGTATTAAAATTAGGCTTTTTGCAAGTCATCGAACTGCTTCAATTTTACTAGACATAACATACTTAGATATTTATTTATCAGCAATATTTAAGCGACTCACTACTGTTAATTTATAGTACATATGTACATACATAGTGTTACTTAACACTCATTAAATATTTAAGTAGCTAAAAAATATTAATTTTTGTGCGTTTTGAGAATTTGCATTCGCGACTTACCTGGGACGATTTTGCATAAAATGCTGCCCGCCAAATATCACCAACATATAAATGCCACAATAGTAAAACACCCAAGTCCAATTCTCCACCATCCATTTGCGTGTGCGTTGATGGATGAAATCATTTTCGAAATCGAAAATGTATGAATAGTTCGGTGTCACGCTTATATCCATATTTATCATTTAGGTATCTGTTTTTTTTTTTTAGTTTTTATTGACTGGGTGACTCTTTGGAACGTTCTAAGTAGTTACTTGTTGAACCTTGTGTATTTGTTATGCAGCCGTTTTGTTAACGATTTTCACTAATTTTCCTTATTCTATCTGAATTCGTCGCATACGACAATGCGTGCTTTAAGCAATTTTCTTCTAAAAAAAAAAATTCTTCCAAATAATGATGATACTACTAGCGAAAATTTATTGTCATTTGACGGCGGCTGCGTGTTATTTCTGCAATT